GCCCCTCCTCAAATATATATATGGGGCCGTCAATCGACGAAAGCTTCGAATTTTCTTCCGTCAAAATTAGTGCTTTTATGCTAAGTCAAAAAATCTATGCCATCTGTTTTCGAAAGCGACTCACAGTTTTTTGGCTTGTCATAGTCTTAAGACTACGTATTCCTAATGTACTAGCTTTGTAGAGAATTATACACTACAGCTGATCTCAACGTCAATTTTAAAAGTTCATTTTAAAGCATTGATTATTCGGCAAGAAAATAATTATGCTTTTAAGCTTGACAAAACTAGCTGAGGAGTTTTTTGTAAACAATTGTTTTTTATACGTATTCTTATTGAAACATGTGTATTGTGTGTTTATATAATTATGTATTTATTTATATTTATGTTTAAAAAAACTGGAAAGAAAAGTGAAACTGAAAAAAATCTGCTTTTCTTACAGTAATTCTATGTTTTTTACAGTGCCAAAACCGTCCTGAACCGTTTCTGAAGGCCGTGGATAGCTGCTGTAAAAACCCGGTATAATTCAAGCATTAAAAATTTGTTAAAAACATTTTACTTTGGTATAACAAAAGGTTATCACTCTCGATATAAAAACCAGACTTCATTCCAGTGTATTCTGCATCTTGCACTTTATTTTGTCACTCCGGGATCATAGCATATAATCTCCAAAAAGTACTATAAGTTGAGCTCTTGTTTGATTGTGCAACTGAAACCTTAGTTCGTGTAAACAAATAAATTGATAGAAAGCATTCAATCACTGTTTTATTTCTTCTTTATTTAATAATCTGTCGAGTAACAGTGGATTTGTGGTGAAAAATAAAAAAACGTGCTCTTTGGCAAAGAGAAAAATAAAATGGTATTGATAGTACTAAGTACTAATATTTACGAAACTACTTGAAAAAATACTTTATCAACACCTACTTTCACAAAAATAAGTGTTTAAATTAAATTATTGACAGTAATAAGGAAACCGATACATTTTCAATAATTGCTGACCGCACGCTAAGGCTAATTTGTTACCAATAATGTCAGTTCTGACCAAAAATTTCTCAAATTTGTCTGACTTTAATCACTGGTAGCAACAAAAAACCACAAGTTAGCCTGAGGCTCCTTCTTCGTAGCATGTTCTATCCATAAATTCCACAAACCGAAAAGCGCATAGGATTCAAAAAAGGTTTACAGATAATTCAATCTTTTACAGCTGAACAACAGCTAAAGCAAAAAAGTGAAACTTATTGTATGTCAAAAATAAATGAGAAAGAACTTTCAAAAAACATGTGGCTTATGTCCTAAAAAAATTAGAATTTCAAAAAACTTATAAAAAAATCAGTGCATTTGTTATCCAAAACCACATTTAAAAACACAACAGTTTAACAGGAAAAGCTGTAAAAATTTTTTTGCCATAAACAAACTGTTATCTTTGGAAAATTTGCAAAACAGGGTCAGAAATTTGCTTGAATTATGTATGTAGCAGAACCATTTAAATTAGAAGCTGTTTCTTAAATCACGCTTCAGCAACTACCTTGGTAAATTTTATAAAATTAAGGCAATTTTAAAAAGCATTATGCAGTCATAACTGTGGCAAAAAAAAATGACGCTAAACAACTGATAACTTCCTGGAATAAAAAAAATAAAAAACCCCTTAATTTGACATTAA